CCCTCAGTCAGGGTTGGAGGGATCGGAGCTCTAACACAACTGGAGGTGTCATAGATGGCCAGTTATGGAGAGAAGAGGGACCGCGGACTGCCACAGGGAAGCTGGGAGAAGAGTATTGCCCCTGCTGTCACAGGAGGATGTACAATATCACTTCACCCGCTGGGGGTGCTGAAGTCCAGAGGATGCTGGGCAGAGTGTGGCCTCGGGGACCCACTGTCACGCAAAAGGTGAACGTCTGAGGACGTGAAGCATCCAGACGCCTCCCAAGGACCAGAGCAAGGGCGGGTTTCCAGGACTAGGACGGCCGTCTGTGGGGGCTGAAGTGGGCTCTCCCGTCAAAGAGGAACAGGCACAGGAAAGAGAGATAGGACAGGTGCTCAGCTGCCATGGAGACCAGGCCCCCAGCTCCCAGCTGGCACAAGTCCCACTTCCTGGAGGCTGCGTGTGAGGTCTTGAGGGGACACCACTGGATGATGTGAGCCAGGGCTGAGAGTGTGGGTTCAACAGCCTTTGTAGCTCCTCTTTTAAGAGGCAGCTTGTTTCCGGAGCCCTGGGTGGAGCTGAATCTGCAGGTGGCCATTAAGAGCCTGCAGCTGGAGGGTGGGGACGGGCTGTCCTGACCAATTCCAGGGCAGAGGGCCCGGCTGCAGGTACGGCTGGATTCAGCTCCACATTCCTTTCTAGAGCCTCTCAGTGCTGAGCTATTTTCTTTGCCACAGGAATATTTTTTCTTTTAATCCGAATCCTAAGAAATGTCACTAAGACAGATTTAAAGTTAGAATTTAAACCACTACTGTAGTTCCAGGTGTGGGATATACAGGTTTTAAACAGTAACAGAAGGCACCTGCGATCCTGGAACAGGCCTCGGATCGAAGTCACTACTTGCTCTGTGAAAATGGAAGTGCGAGAGGAAAGAGGGCCCGGGAGGGCGTTCGCGTGCCTGGACGTGGAAACTGCCTGGCGTTTGCACAAAGACGAGCGCGTGCGGCCGCCGCCTGCCCAAGTGGGGTGCGGACTCCGGCCCCCTTTTCACATCTTGCATTCGTCCGCGTGGCTGCTGCCTGCACAGCCCGCATCGCCTGACTCTCATCGTGCAGGGCCGTGGGGGCAGGGAGCTGTCACTGTCCCGCCCAAGGCGTGGGCCTGAAAGGAGCGATGCTGCGCTCTCCAACAGGCCGCGCCTTTCCAAGGCCACCGCGTGGGTTATCTGGGTCTCCCACAAAGCCCCCGTCCTGGGCAAGAGCCCGCGTTGCTGAGACCTCCCTACCCGCCCACTGCCAGCCCAGCCCGGCCAGGGAAGGGGAGGGCCCCTCCCGGAACCAGTTACAATGTGGGAGGCAAAGTAAGTTGGAGTCGCTCCTTAGGAGACAGAGCTGGCCACAAAATGTTTATTCTCCTCCCGAAGCTCACTCCGGTGTGTGCAACTGTTTCTCTTCTCTCTCCCTGTAGAGGGGCGTCCTTTCTCGCTCGCAGCCCCGACCGGCCCCTTCGCCCACGCGGCTGACCTTTGGAGTTAAGGTCCCAGTGGGAGGGGCTTGTGCCGTGTGCCGGAAGTCGGGTGGAGCGGCGAGCGCGGCATAGACCTGGATGGCCCCTCCGACAGCTCAGCTCGGCGGGGACGTGCTTCCGCGTCCGCCCCCGCGCAGCGGGAAGGCCTGCAGCCCGCGCCCTGGGGGAGCGGAGATCGCTGACAGAGCTGGTCCCAGAACACTCGCTGTGCAAGGCTGGGGAGGCAGGAAGGCAAGGAAGGGAAGCCGCCTCCTCTCCCCTCGGGGACCATCCGGTTCCCACCGGGTTCTGCAGAGACCCCTGCCGTGAGGGCCGCGCACTGGGACTGGCGCGCTGGCCTTTGGCGAAGAGGAACTCGGGAAGGGCCGGGCTGGGAGCCCCTTGCCTATGGGTGAGCCCCGTGCTTAGGAGGCCTCAGACAGCCCAGGAGGGACCTTGCTGGGTCAGGTTCATGTCCTCCTGGCGGGACACCCCAGGTTCAGGTCAAGCTTTGGTGCAGACCCCCCTGGATCCATTTCCATGTTAGAGAAGCAGGCGGTACAGAGAAAGCAGATAAAACCAAGAATTGCCTCTCTTCCTCCCTTTCTGTCATGTCCCCAGAAACCCTGGAGTCACAGTCATTGCCTGATTTCTTCCCAAATCGACCCCCCACCACCTTTTTTTTACTGAGTTTTTTTCCAGATTCTGTTGTGTTTTTTTCAAGCTTTAAGATTTATCTTACTGCAATATTTTCTTGAAAAAATGAAGAGTCCACCAGTGGATTCTCGTTGTACTCAGAGTAAAACTGACACTGTCCTGTGGCCCACAGAGTTCTGGGCCCTGGGCCTCACCGCACTGCCCTCCTGCCCGCCCTTCCTTCTCCCTCCCTCCCTGCTCTGCCACCGCGAGCTCCCAGCTACCACAAGCAGCCTGCTTTCCTTGACTTGGGGCCTCTTCCCTCATCTCCGAAGCCAGCAGTGGGGGGTCACGTCCTTCCCAAACTCTCTCCTCCCCGGTTCTTGGAGGCTGACAGAGATTTCCTGCTCTTGTGGATTCTGGTGATTCCTTGGGGCACACCCAGTTAATCCAGGGTGATTTCCTTATCTCAGAAATCCTCAACTTAATCCCATCAAGTCTCTTGCCATACGAGGGGACACAGTCACACAAGTTCTGGAGATCAGGACAGGGACATCGTTGGGGGGCTTTACTGGGGCTCTCACAAGTGTTCGGCCACTTTAGTTGACAAACATAATCTCATGTCTTAGATTAATCACAGCTCTGAAGTTGATTTCACTTAAAATCTTCTCCCCAGCCAGGCTGTCCCCCTACCCAGTGCAATGGGAGGGGTGGGGACGTTACTCTGCTTCTTGTTTGTCACCTTCTCCCGGTGGTCACTCCTGAGGGCAGGATCTTTGTTTCATTCTTAGTCTTTCCTTTGCCTACGACCGGCATGGTCTCTTGCTCAATAAACGTTCAGCCAATGAATGCTGAGTGGGACACATTGCCCTGATAAAGCTCTATGCTCTTTTTTCAGTTGAGATATAATTTACAGGCCAGCCTGCCTCGGAGGGCAACAGAAGTAGCAGAAAGTGCCAGGGCCCGCCAGAGTGGCACAGGCAGGCCACAGAGGGCTTTATTGTGCCCATGGATGGGAAGAGTCCCTCAAGGCTCTGGAAGCAGGTCTGGATAAGGCAGTGCTGCTAGTAAGCAGCTAGGTGTTTGGATTCAGGGTTGAGACCTTTTCTGCCTCAGGGCATCTTCCTGGGCTGAGGCTGTAGCTGAACAAGCCGCGGGGCTGGGTCGGTGTGGAGGGTGGGCAGGAGCTCCGCGAGCGCCTGGCCTTGTGAGATGGTGTCTCGGTCTGTCCAGGCTGCTGTAACAGCTACCGCAGCCCGGGCGGCGTACAAACAACAGACATGTATTGCTCACAGCTCTGGAGGCTGGAAGTCCAAGGTCCCGGCGTGGCAGAGGCTGTGTCTGGTGGGGACTCCCTTCCCGGTTCATAGATGGCGCCTTCTCGCTGTGTCCTTACATGGTGGAAGGGGTGAGGGAGCTCTCTGGGGTCCCTTTTGTAAGGACACTGGTCCCATCCATGAGACTCCACCCTCATGGTGTCATCACCCCCCAAAGGCCCCATCTCCTCACACCATCACCTTGGAGGTGAGGATTTCAACATGAATTTCGAGGGGACACACACGTTCAGATCATAGCACGTGAGAACTAAAACATGCCATCAGAGGGTGCTGTAGGCAGGATTTCCTATTCCCCAGCTGATGCAGACTGGGTCCCGTTTACATCAAGTCTCAAAAGTAGCAGCCCCTCTCACCAGGATGGCTATGATCCAAGTTGTGAAATGAGTTCGGCAAAGGTGTGGAGAAATTAGAACGCTTGTACGTTGCTGGTGGTAAAACGGTGCTGCCACTGTGGGAAACAGTTCGGCATTTCCTCAAAAAGTCAAACGTAGAAATACCATCTGACCCAGCAATTGCACTCCTGGGTGTACACCCCAAAGAACTGGAAACAGGAACTCAAACCAATACTTGTACGCGCATGCTCATAGCAGCATGATTCACAGTACCGAAAGGTAGAAACAACCCAACGCTCATCGCTGGCTGGCTGGATGGACAGACCGAGTGCCGTCCGTCCGTACCATGGAATGGATTCAGTCATGAAAAGGAATGAAGCTCTGACACGTGCTACCACGCGGATGAACCTCGAAAACATCATGTGCGTGGAAAGAAGCGAGGCCCAAAAGGCCACCTAGCATTTGTTTCCATTCGTGTGAAATGTCCAGGGCAGGCAAATCCATGGAGACAGAAAGTGGGTTAGTGGTCGCCGGGGAATGCGGTGGGGGAGGGCAGGAGGGCTTAGTGGGGACGGGGCCTCCTTTGGGACGATGAAAGCATTTTGGAACTACACAGTGGCTATGGCTGTGCAGCACTGTGCATGTACTAAAGGCCACTGAATTGTTTCCTTTCAAATAGTTGATTTTATGTTATGCGAATTTCACCTGAATTAAAAAATTAAAAAATCCTCAGGGCCGGGGCTCACGCCTGTGATCCTAGCTCTCTGGGAGGCCGAGGCGGGCGGATTGTTTGAGGTCAGGAGTCTGAGACCAGCCTGAGCAAGAGTGAGACCCCATCTCTACTAAAAATAGAAAGAAATTAACTGGACAACTAAAATATGGAGAAAAAATTAGCCGGGCATGGTGGCGCATGCCTGTAGTCCCAGCTACTCAGGAGGCTGAGGCAGGAGGATCGCTTGAGCCCAGGAGTTGGAGGTTGCTGTGAGCTAGGATGACGCCACGGCACTCTAGCCCGGGCAACACAGTGAGACTCTGTCTCAAAAAAAAAAAAAAAATCCTCAGCAGCAACATAAGGAAACGTTGCGGCGGGGTTCTGCTCTGTGCGCGTGGCCCTGACCTTTCTGGTGCAGGGGAGCTGGTCTGGTAGCTCCAAGGCGGGACCACCGGGCCCACCTGAGCTGTGGCCGCCGCTGTGCTTGTGTCCTAGCACCGTGCTGCTGTACCACATCATGGCGTGGGGCCTGGCCACCCTGCTGTGCGTGGAGGGAGCGGCCATGCTCTACTACCCCTCCGTGTTCAGGTAAGCCGGACTCCCAGCGCCCCAGGGGAGCCAGTCCCTGGCCCAAGCTGTGCTCTCTGACAGGGGCCCTGACAGCCAGAGTCGGGCCATTGTCTCTGGGCCACGGGGTGTGGCGCTCACAGCCAGGACCCGGAGGGCTCGCCGTGGTCCCTTGCACCCTGCAGCGGTCTCCCCTGCCTCTGCCCCTCCCGACTGTGTGCCCAGGCGCCTGTGCACACACACGTGTGCGAGGCTTTTGCTGTAACCCCTCTGTGTCAGTCTGTGTCCAAGTTTTAGGTGAATCAGCGTGTTGGTGCGGCTTCCTCACGCCCTCTCTTTAATTTGTATTCTTGGCGCCTCCTCTGGGTGAGCAGGTGAGTTTGACACTCTGACTCGGGAGGATGCGGGACATGGGACGGGAGCCCTGGGGAGAGCTCATCCTGTGCCTCTGCTCCCTGCACTTCCTCTCTTCTCTTCCTGCCTGCACGCTCGGCTGTCCCCAACGCAGGGACAGGCAGACGTGGCTGCCGAAACCGTCTCAGGCATTTCTTCACGTTTAAAATCCCATCCGTGCAACCCGAGGTTGCAAAGCCTCCGCGCAAGGCTATGTACTCTACCTTTCAGTGTAAACTTGGAACACGGGTGGACGGTGTCTCTTTGTCTGATTCTAGGGCTGTGTAGACCAGGGACCAGCACGGCACAGCCCCTAGGCCAAGTTCGGTCTCCACCTGTTTCTGTGCATAAAGTTTTATTGGGATGCAGCCGCACCCATTTGTCTATGTCCCGCGGCTGCTTTTGCACGACAACATCACAGCCGAGTAGCTGCAACGGAGACCACGGTATGGCCCGGGAAGCTGGAAATATTTACCATCTGTCCCCTTACAGAGAAAGTTTGCTGAACAGTGACATAGATCATTTCTCACCCTTCTTTTTCAGCTTCTTGCAGCTACTCAATTAGATGTCTCCAAACTGGTGTTGTCTTGTCAACTGTGAACACAAACGGGGAGTTCTGTGTAGATCCTTCCGGATAGTCTGCTTTCCTGGGGGACCTAACAGGGCAGACACAGTGTCACAGCGGTTATAACAGAACGCACTTAATTGGAAAGGGGGTCTCTGTCCCTCACCCTCACCCGTGGCACCCTGGAGACTCCTGGCAAAGTTGCACCTGAGCCCGTGGGGGCCACTGCGGCAGGGCTCCCGGCGTCTTCGGGGGCTGCTGGTGTCAGCGTCCTAACCCTTGGTCATCTCCGCATCCTCATGTCCCGAGACCCGGGGCCCTCGGCATTCTTGAGGCTCACGGCCTCACGCTCTTATTTGTCATTTACCTTTGTCTTTGTACTGGAGTCGCTTCTCTTCTCGTCTTGTTTCCCTTTCTGTCCCCAAGCCTGTTCTACCGCGTCTCAGCCCTCACAGCTGCGCAGCTGAGGGGAAAGCGCCCATCAGAAGGTGGCGTCGCAAGGTGGTACAGTCATCCTTCCTATGGCCAGAGGGGACGCCTCTTGCATTTTTCCTACCTGATACTTTTGCATTTTCTGCCATTTCCCCCTTTCTGGGCTGACCACTCCATGGATATCAAAACAAGAGTGCTGCCACCCGCTTTCGTCACCCTACCTCTGTGGCCGCAAGGCTGCTTGGTCGTCCGCTTTGTCGCCTCCCTCTCTCTGAGCCGTCCTCGCTCCCCGTGGCCTGCGGTTCTCCCGTCCTCTGCACCACCTGTCCGCTCTCCCACGTTGTGCGTTTCTTAGCCGGTGGCTCCTACCGTGGCCACACACGTGCGTAGGGCTCCTACCACGTCCTGTGGTGGCTGGTGAGTCCTGGACCCTTCCGTAGAAATCCTCGTCCTTTGCCCTGACGCGAACCTCTGAGACGATTGTTCCCATAACCACGAGGACAATGCACTCCGAGAGGTGCCGCTGGCATATTTTGAGTTGCCCAAGGAGAGGGACTAGATCTCATTCATGTTATTGCCAAGCCAAACAACACCCTAACTCGTTGACGAGGGCCCTCGTCTCTCCTTGAACTCTGGAATCCACCAGCCCAGAGTGTCTTTTCCTCTCTTATCTTTCCCAGCAGTGACCTTTAGAGGCTGCCCGGGTGGTGGCCCCCTTCGAGGGCCTCCCACGTATGAGGCAGAAACATGACCGACCTGCCCGACCCTCCTGCAGTTTATGGCCTGTTCCAGACACGGGAAATGAGTCAGATTTCCTCTGGGCAGAGTCAGAAGCAGATTGATGCATTTCCCTCTTATCTGCGCTTCCAGATGAGCAGATGTATTTCAGCCACAGCCTTGCCTCTGAGAAGAATGACGTGGTTTCCTCCCTCAGGTGTGAGAGGGGCCTGGACCACGCCATCCCCCACTACGTCACCACGTACTTGCCGCTGCTGCTGGTGCTCGTGGCCAACCCCATCCTGTTCCAAAAGACGGTGGCTGCAGGTAAATGACCGGGCCGTCCTCTGGGTGCATGGCCACTGGGTATGGCCCCGTGCCTCAGGCTCAGATAATGACAAATGTTGTCCTTCTGGAATTAGCCAGGACAGTTGAGCTCATTCGTCATCCTCCAGAGACAGAATACAGCTGGGGAGAGTGGCAGGTTTAATAAATGGACACGAGCAAGGCTTTGCCGACATTGTTCAAGGCAGGACAACTGGACTTTTCTGTTCTGTGCTGGGCTCATCCCGGGTCTGCCCTGGGAGTGGCCTTGGACGGCTGCGGAGGTGCCGTAGGAGCAGGAGGGGCGGGGGGACAGGGTATGGAGTGAGGTGGCTCTGGTCCCGGGACACACTGGGCCTGCGCCTTTTCTCAGACGGGCAGGAGGCAGGATGCAGAGCACAGGACGTGAGTCAAAGGCAGAGTTTGGAACTGGGTAAGATGGATGTCACGAGCTGCAGAAAGCCAGGGAGAGAGCTCTGGGCTGGGGCTGGGGTCCTGCAGTACAGCCCCGACCACTCCTAAAGCAGCGTGGCCTGGAGTGAGCCTGCAGCCTGCTTTGGCTGCCGAGGGTCTCCCAGGGCAGAGCAGGAAAGAGGAAGTTTGCCTCAACTGGAAGGTCCATTGAGGATTAGCTGTTGATTATAGAACTTTTTAAAAACATGGTTTAAAGTACTCTATCACTGGTGATAGGACATGATTGGAGCTCTTTGAGCTAGTCTTTTCATAGCTACATTTAAATGTAGTATATTATTAATCAATATAGCATGTTTTTTATAAAATTGCATAAAAATAGTGATAGGAGTACATCAAAAAAATGGAAATGACTTATAGAAAGAAGACCAAGGCCAGTGTGGGGGCTCACACCTGGAAACTTAGCACTCTGGGAGGCTGAAGCGGGAGGATCGCTTGAGGCCAGGAGTTGGAGACCAGCCTGGGCAA